CCGTAGCGGTCCTCAGGGCGTCCAGACATGTCCGAGGTGAAGAGTAGGAAGAAGCCGGGGCCTAAGGGAGCCCCTGCAGAGCCCGTGAAACGGGGTGAGGGCAGGAAGAGCCCCGAGGCCCAAGGGGGCGGCTGGGCGGACCCGAGGACCGGCCTGAGCCTGCTGTCGCTGGGGACGTGCCTAGGCCTGGCCTGGTAAGTGGTCGCGGGCCGCTGGCGCCCAACCAGCGTCGCCCGGCTCTTCCAGGTCACGGTCCCGTCCTGCGTCGCCTGGCTTCACATCCCGCTAACCTTGCATCCCCCGGCCTGCGGCTTCTGTTCTCTACCTCCATCACAGAGGAAGGATACGGCCCAACTTTGTTCTTTCTTTCGCTCATTCCTTGTAACTCATTTTTCTTCCGGGCTAGAAACGTGCCCCTCTTCGCTCAACTGGAATTGAGCCTAAAATTTGGGAACCAGTCAGCCATTTGTTAAGCGTTGCAGGTTCAGCCACGCTTCTGCTACACGTCAGAAGCTTTCACGTTTTTATAAACCGTTATCCGCGATAGATTTACCCCACCCCAGCTGTCCCTAAAATACCTGATGGAAACATTTGCAACTTTAAAGAAAGTTCAACAGACATTAATGCTAATGGCAAAATTTGGAGGGTTTCTCATTTCCATCAATGTACATACGTTTGAATATAAAACCTAAGTTACAGATTTGACCGTAACTGTGAAGCTGCAAAATTTCTGTGTAGTACTTGTGTTTACTTAGGTGTAAACATTTGTAGTTTTTAAGCCAAACAAATAATGATATATTGGTGTCATTGGGGAAAATAAATATTAGAAATAACCTTTAAACTAGTTGCTTTATTTTCCCGAGATAATCTGTTTCATTTTATAACAACACTGACACTTTAATAGAATTTTCCTCCATTTTTCACAACCTTCCAAAGTGAAGAAGTCTAGAAGAAACCCCAGACCTTTAATCTAGACTTTTTTTTTTGGGGGGGGGGTACTGGGGTTTGAACCCAGGGTGCTTAACTACTGAGCTACATCCCCAACTCTTTTTTTATGTTTTACTTTTTTATTCTTTTTAGTTTTACAACTACATTCTGGTAGTTGTAAATGATGTGGACACACTGGTTGTGTATTCATATATGAACATAGGAAAGTTATGTCCGATTAAGTCTACTGTCAACAAATTATAAGTTGCTTCTATATCCCATATCCCCTCCATTCCCTTTGTCCCCTTTGTCTATTCCTCCCCAACCCCCATCATGTTTTTTTTGTTTTGTTTTTTTGTGTGTGTGTGGAGGGGGAATGGGTGCTGGGGATTGAACCCAGGGCCTTGTGCATGCAAGGCAAGCACTCTACCAACTGAGTTATATCCTCAGCCCGGCCATCCATCATGTTTTATTTTGAGACAAGGTCTCTCTAAATTGCTCCCTAAGTTGCTGAGGCTAGCTTCAAACCTGCAGTCCTCCTGCCTCTGCCTCCCAAGTCACTGGGATTACAGGCCTGTGCCATCATGCCTGGCTGCCATTCAATAATTTGATTATGTCCTGGGGGAAAACTTAATAGAAAACTAAACTTTAAAACTTGAAAAGCTGATGCTTCATCTAAGGAATTTGCTATGAGGGATTTTTGTTTTTATTGTAGAAAGACAAAAACATGTTACATTCATTTGAAAGATTTCATCTGTGTTATGATTTTGAAAAATAATTTTTTTAGTACTGAATCAATTATTTTTAGGATTAGAAGTGTATCTCAGTGATAGAGCACTTGTTAGCATGTTTGAGGCCCTGAGTTCCATGCCTAGCACCATTAAAAGAAAAAAAAAAGGGTTTTTTTAAATGGACAGAATCTACAACTGTACTAAAATAGTTGACTCTAAGTTGCTCCTGAGAAATCTTTTGCCACAAGAATTGAGTATATACATTTAGTTTGCTATTTATAGCAAAATGTTCCTGGTAAATTTGGGGATGAAATTTTATCCTGGTAAGACATTTGCAAACATTCTCCAAATAAAAGAGCAAACATTTGCCATTTCTTAAATACTTTCAAAGCACAGAATTATAACAAAGTAGTTGAAATCTTTACCATTAGAACACATACTTTAGCTTCAAAAACTCAATCCACCAAATCCTTATTAAATGGTAACTTAACTGACACTATTCAGTTGTTAAAATATAACAGTGAATATGTGTACCTATAAACACTGCTTATGCATCCTCTCACACTTTGTCTCACTGAGAAAGTCTGAACCCTTGTGCCCCAGGAGGATTTCAAGGCATCACAATATATGAGTATCTTCAGATCTTAGTCTTTGGGTCCTTGTTTGAAAAATAAACAGAAATAACACATAACAAACTTAAAAGTGTGTTGTTTTCCTATCTTCTCTCTGCTAAATAAAATCCTGATACATCATCATACATCAACTTGATAATAAATACTGGAGTGGCCCAAGACATGAATTCAGTATCAGTTTGCATATCTCATTTCTAAAAGAAAATTTTCAGATAAAATAATTGAAGAGATTCTGCTTTCAGAAAATTAAAAAGGAAGTTACTAAACAAAACAAAACCTTTTACACAAGGATATTTAGTTACCTAGAAATTCAGTCAACTGGAGCTATAATCCTAGCAGTTTACAAAGATAAGGCAGGAGGATCACAAGTTTGAGGGCAGCCTCAGCAACTTAGCAAGACATTGTCTCAATTTTTCTTTTTTTTTTTTTTTTTTTTGTACCGGGTTTAAACTCAGGGACACTTGACCACTGAGGCACATCTCCAGCCCTATTTTGTATTTTATTTAGACACAAGGTCTCACTGAGTTGCTTTGCACCTCACCTTTGCTGAGGTTGGCTTTGAACTCATGATCCTCCTTCCTCAGCCTTCTGAGCCACAGGCGTGCTCCATCATTCCTGGCTTCCAATTTTTAAAAAAGAAAGAAAAGGGGCTGTGGACATAGTACAGTGGTAAAGTTTTAATCACCAGTACAAAAAATATTTTTTTTAAATTCCATTGTGAAAGATTTTAATTTTCTTCTGGAAATTTCAACAAATTATAAGTTGCTTTTATAAAAGATTTTCATGACATTATAATTGTGTAGAAGAATTCAAAAGCTCTCTAAACAATATTTAGGGGTTTCTTCTTCCTTTATCATCCAGTATAACTTTGTCTATATAATCTTGGCTAACTTTTTCTAGATCTTTTGCTATTATTGTTATTAGAGTTTTATCTTTAAAACAGGATTGTACTTTAAACATAAAATATGTTCAGTGTTTTTCTAAATATTGGGTTCTGTACTAAAAATGAAGCTGTAGATGGTATGAAATATAGGGTTAAGTATGTACCAACCCTGCTAGTGACACTAGAAATTTTTTGCAGAAGGTTTATAATACCTTCCTTTAGTCATTTGCCTCTGTCATTATTAAGTTGAAATAAGAGCCCAGGGAAATCCTGTATTTGCGTCTTCAATCAACTGTCTCCACCTTCTACAATTCTGAAGGAGCCATACAGAGGCAGTAGACCATTAGGGCTACAGAGCCCTAAATCTGTATGAGGTCTCTGTAGATTGCATTGGTTTATGATAGAATGAAGAAGATTCCTTTTGGAAGGCCTACACTAAATTTAGCCAATTAAATTTATCCAATTAACCTTTGTCCTACATTTAACATTTTCAGGGCCTTACCTATGTGATAGCGAGAAGAGATCCCAAAGTAGGATAAGAGAATGATGCTCCTTTAGTAACCTGTAAGTGGTCTAATCCATCTGTTCTATACTTCATTTACCATAACTCCAACCCCAATTATGCTTAATGTTCAAAGGAGACAGGGATAGGACTAGCTGACAAGTACAGGTAAACAGAAGGTAATCTGCTCCTTTATAAACCATAGACACATAGGCAGGATGGAAAAACAGTTGTACAAAATAGTCAAAAAGAAAGGGCCAATGTACTTAAATAGAATAGCTGATGTGTTAAACTCTAGGTATTATTCTATGAACTTTTATAAATATGAACCTGTTTAATCCCTGTAACAACCCTTTGAGGTATTACCCTTGCTTTATAGATGAAGAAATGAGCAAAAGTTGTTTAATTTGTCCAAGGTGGTTACTATAGCTAATAAGTGGTAGAGCCAAGATGGTCCAGCTACATACTTAACCAGTATATGTACCCTTCCTTTGATACTAATACAAAATAAGACCAGACTCTAGAAATGGAGATCCCCCAAATCCAGAATTAGTCATTTTCTTCCTTTCACTAGAAGCTCTACCACTCAGCATACCCTAATTGTTGGTCTTTCACCAACAAAAGATTAGAAACAGCTCTGTTAGAATATGCCTCTGACTCATGAAAAGAAAATGAAGCACCTTGGGCTTAAATCTGGATGCCAGATTGAAAAAACTTGGTTTTTCAAAACTGAAGCATCCCTCTCTTAGGGTACTTTCTTGACTAGAAAATCAGTCATTCTCTTCCTTAATTTTAAGTGAATTAATATTGATCAAGCATTTAGAATAGTGTGGCACATTTAAATGGAAATAAAATGTATTATAATGTATTATGCCTTAACACCATGCAGACCACTTTTCATTTTTTCATTAGTATCAATAAGTCAACTTTGTACATGTTTTTATATGCACTATTCATATGTAGCAAGGTTGAATCTTGTACTTTTTTTACTTTTGTGAAAGGTTAAACATAAGAGGAGAAAAACCTTACAAGTTAACATCAGAAATGATATCTCTACTGATGTGACAGTTTTCTTCAAGTTTTTACTTAATGCTTGAATTTGAAAAGTCCAGAGACAGACAACATTAAAATATTTAATAAAGTTGAAAATCCTGTAATGCATTTTTATAGTGAGTCAACTTTGATTCATTCTTTTTTATAATGATTTTACTCTGAATAAACTCGCTGATCTATACAATCAATCCATGAAGTAATACTATGGAGTATGGATGATAAAACTAGCCCCTAAATTAGCTTTTACTTCTTTAGGCTGACCTCAACCAAACCTATACTGAGGGTTGGGTGGGTATCTTAAAATTCAAGAATGAGAAGTGGATAAAAAATTTTGTCTGGGGCTGGAGTTATAACTCAGTGGTGGAGTGCTTGCCTAGCACATGTGAGGCACATGTTTATTTTCATGTGGTACTGAAGTTCAATCCTCAGTACCACATGAAAATAAATAAATAAAATAAAGGCATTGTGTCCATCTACACAATATATATATATATATTTTTTTTTTTTTTTTAATTTGTCTACCCATCCATCTTAGAAAAGTATGAACCTAGCCGGGCCTGGTGTTGCATACCTATAATCCCAGCTGCTTGGGAAGCTAAGCCAGGAAAATCACAAATTCAAGCCCAACCTTGGCAACTTAGTGGACTGTTTAAAAAAATAAATAAAAAGGCTTGAGGATGTAGCTTATTCATAGGGTACCCCTGGATTCAATACCCAGTACCAAAAAAAAAAGAAAAGAAAAGAAATTAGGAAATGAAGGCTTTCTAATAGCCAGAAGTTTTGTTTAAAATTCATGTTGACACACAGGAGAATCTGTGCTAATTATATAACCTGAAATTATACTAAGTATCTCTTGACAGACATTAATCTGTACCATCAAAAGAAATTTCAATGGGGCATGGTAGTGCATGCTGTAATCCTAGGTGCTCTCAAGACTGAGGGAGGATTTCGAGTTCAAAGCTAGCCTCAGCAAAACTGAGGCACTAAGCAACTCAATGAGACTCTGTCTCTGAATAAAATACAAAATAGGGCTGGGGATATGACTCAGTGGCTGAGTGCCCCTGAGTTCAATCCCTGGTACCCCAAGAAAAGAAAAATTTCATCCAACATTCTCTTGGTTTAAAAAGCCAAAAAAGATGTGAGGGAAGGGGAGGGGGGATAGTAGGGGATAGGAAAGGTAGCAGAATACAATAATTACTAATAGGGCATTATGTAAAATTGTGGATGTGTAACCGACGTGATTCTGCAATCTGCATTTGGGGTAAAAATTGGGAGTTCATAACCCACTTCAATCTAATGTATGAAATATGTCAAGAGCTTTATAATGTTGTGAACAACCAATAAAAAAAAAGGATTATGATAAAAAAAAGAAAAAGAAAATAAAAAGCCAAAAAAAAAAGAAGAATCCATTTAGCTTTAGCAACTGCGAAGTCTAAAGATCATTTATGAGTTCAAAACACCATTGCCTTTGTAAGAATACACAAGTCAGCTACACTTTAAAAAAAAAAAAGTCTTTTACCTCTCTTTGAAGTCTTTGAAATCTTTGTTTTTAAGTTAAGTTCATTTCAATGGAAATGAATTTACAAAACATGGTCAATTAGTAGTCCTCATGCTGTGCATTCAGATCACCTCTGAAGCTGTTTAAATTTTCAATGTTCACATCATATACTAGACCAATTAAATCAGAATCTCTGCGGGTGAGGCCCAGGTATAAGATTTGTTAAAGCTGCCAGGTGATTCCAAGATACAGGGGAGCTCTTGAACCACTCTTCTAGGTACTGTTACTTACGTGCTTCACTTGGTTCTGCTCCATTGCTTTTTTTTTTTTTTCTCCAGAGATTGAACTTAGGGTGCTTAACCCCTAAAGATTGGGAAACCTTTTTTATTCTTCTATCTTTGTTTGATGAAGAATATATTCCAACTTTATTATTGTTTTTATTTTGGTTTGGTTTGGGTATTGGGGATTTAACCCAGGGATGCTTTACCACTGAGTCACTTCCCCAGCCCTTCTTACTTTTTGAGTCAGGGCCTCACTAAGTTGCTGAGGCTAGCATTGAACTTACAATCCTCTTGCCTCAGCCTCCTGGGTCACTGTGATTTCAGGCATACACCACTGTGCCAGGCTCATTATTGTTTTAATCTTATGATCAAACTCAGGGCCTCTCACATGCCAGTCAAACTATCTACCACTGAACTACACCTCTAAGTCCTATTATTTTCATCTTTTGTGTTGTTACCATGGATTAAACCCAGAGGAACTTTACCTCTGAGCTACATTCCCAGTCATTTTTATTTTTTCAAATAAAAACTATTACAGGTATGTGCCACCAGGCCCACTTCAGTTCTATTTTAGAATGACATCTGAACTGCTCTACATGAGTTGTATTGTAGAGTATAATCAATTGTAGGGTTTATATACCTGCATTACATATGTATTCCACCTTTACAGTGGCTCCCTTTCATTTTCATGCCTCTTCTATTAATTTGCATCTTCTTTGAGAGAGAGAGAGAGAGAGAGAATTTTTTATTTATTGTTTCAGTTTTCAGCGGACACAACATCTTTGTATGTGGTGCTGAGGATCGAACCCGGGCCGCACGCATGCCAGGCGAGCGCGCTACCACTTTAGCCACATCCCCAGCCTGTATTTTGCACCTTCTAATCATAATTACCTCTCTCTCTTCCAAATCATGATTTTTGCTTTTCATGAGTCTATTCTTCTACATTTTAGCTTTTAAGTACTTTTTATAGATAATCTTTGTTTTTCCTACATTTTTTGTTTCTCCTGTAAAAACACTTTCTAGGTAAGTGTCTTAATATGGCTTTGAGAAAAATAGTTTAGATCAAAGAGCTTGTTCTAAATAGTTTACCATGACTTTCTCCAAAATGTTTCCTGTTTGTACATACATCTATTACAGATATCACACTGTCTTACTATGCTGTGAAATGTAAACAAGGACAGAGTTTACTCTTGTCAAGAGTTAAAGCAGTACCTATCACATAGTATTTATCTGCATGTTATAAATGAAATAAACTGACAAAAATTACAGCTTGCTACCAGAATTTATGTTCTTACCAGAAGTGGGTATAATACTTCTTTGAAATTCAAATTTAAATGAATATGAATAGGGCCATAGTGACTTTTTTTTCTTTTAATCTTTCTCAGGTTTGTATTTCAACAGTCAGAAAAATTTGCAGAGGTAGAAAACAAATACCAGTTACTGAAAATGGAAAGCAAGGAGTTCCAAGGACTTAAAAGTGAAATCAGTTTAATTTCAGAAAAGGTAATTATTAATTTATTTGGGGAGACTTTCCCATTTTACTTCTCTTCTAGCCTTCCTTTATGCCAGCTCAGAACTTCTTTCTTCCTGCCTGTTAAACTGTTACTATTTCAACTCACTGATCTTCCTACCTCTTGACATTCTTCCTCTGATCCAATTTGGATTTATATTGCACCTTAAAAGGACATGGATTTTTATATATAACAATGTCTACTGTTGAAAAAGACCAGTATGCATTTGCAAAGCCCTGGGTTTGATCATCACCACTGCAAAAAAATAAATTTAAAAAATTTAAAACTTAAAAAAAGTAAAAGACTAATAGGTTCATATTGATATGATGTTAATTTTTTTCAAGTGTCAGGTTAACCCAAGCAATGAAAACATGGTTGAGCTTTACATATAAAATTAGAATATGAATAGCACTTATAGTTCATCTATCATTTTCTTTCCACATTTTAAGAATGTATGTATATACATATAAAAATAACAGGTCTGTCAGAAAAAAAAATAACTAGCCTAAACATAAGTTTTGATTCTATAGCCGGAGTTCTAATGAAAATTAAAATAACACCTTGTAGGGGCTGGGGCTGTAGCTCAGTGGTAGAGTGCTTGCCTGGCATGTGTGGGGCCCTGGGTTCAATCCTGAGCACCACAAAAAGATAAATAAATAAAATAAGGGGATTGTATCCATCTATAACTAAAATAAATAAATAAATAAAAATAACACTATGTATATGACATGTTTCTTCAAATTGCAAATGATTTCCAGCAGATGCATTATTTACTGTGATTCTTAGAAATATGAAACCATCTTGTCACTCCCACATCTCTCAGAAGAGGATCCACTGTGATCATGTGGGCTGTATCTGGCTAGCAGTGACCAAGCTATCACTGGGAAACACATTTGTTCATCTATCCATCACTAAACCTTTACTCATGTTATCAGCGTGTGGTTGGCACCAGGGTGGTAAAGATGTTAATATAGACAGACATGATGGAGGGTCTAATTCCCTATTGTCTCATGAGAAAGATGAGCACATAATGCCCCAGAAGAAAAAAGTCATGAATGAAAATTGAGTGATTTATGCATGCCAGAGGATTCCATGGAAAAGGTGAGCATAATGGGCTTCTGGGAAGAAACTGAAAAGGACTTGGTATTTTGACATAGGGCTCAAATTGGAATCTGGTTATAAGCACTCTGGAATACTGAAAGAAAAATTTCAGGTACTAGAATTCATATATTTAACTAAAAGCTATTGAAAATAAATTTTGAACAAAGCCAGATTTCCTTTTTAAATAAAATATTTTGGTGACAAAAAAATTTTGAAACATTTTTAAAATATCATCATTGAATCCAAGAAGTATTCAGTCTTTTTATAGTTCTTTTCTAGGAGTATTTTAATAATAGCTGCCTTTTCCCAAAGCTGGCCCTAAAAGTCAGCATAATGCAGTAGGAGGGAAAAACAACTAGAGATGGGCTCTCATCACAATTCGGTTACTTGGAACAAATTACTTGAACTTCCCTTGGCCTCTATTCAACATTCATTATGTGAGAAATAACAGGATGAGATATATATGCAAACTGTTTAAAAACTTTCAGCTACAAATAATGGTAAGGTATTGGCTGTTTTCAAAAAAGTGAAAAACTATTAGAATATATTGGCAGCCATAAATGCTAGTTACTGTGATGTATTAGTTTTCAATCGCTGGGACAAAATACCTGAGAAAATCAACTTACAAGAAGAAAGATTTATTTTGACTCATGACTTTGAAGGTTTCAGTCCATGGTGGACTGACTCCATTGTTTCTGAGCCAGTGGTAATGTTGTAATTCACTGTGGTGGAAGGTGTGGAAGGAGCAAAGCTGCTCACATCCGAACATCTGGGAAGGAGAAAGAGGAAGAGTGAGGAAGGGGCTAAGAACAATATATAGTCACCCAGGACTTGCTGCCCACAAAGACCCACTCCCTCTAACTGGTTCCACCTCCTGCAGTTTCCACCACCTCCCAATAGCCTGTTAAGTTATGAATTCATCAGTGATTAATCCTCTGATAGTATCAGAGCCCTCATGATCCAATCACTTTCCAAAAGTCCCACCTCTCAACATTGCTGCAAGCCTTTAACACATGAGCCAAACTATACCATTGTGGTGTATCAGTCATTTAATAATTTGCAAATTAAAGCTTGAGATTATTATACTGAAAAATAGATTGTTTACTTGGGCTATATTGCCTCAAGATTACAGTGATGTTCTGATGAACAGCTTACACAGGAAATCATCTTAGATTAAGATGCTCAGTTCTTCAAAATAATGCTAATTACCAACATACAAGTATATCTCAGAATTGGTTTTTAAATGAATTTGTATTATGGCTACATGAGTGCATTAAAATAGTTTTTAAAAAACATTTCAGAGTGGTCTTATCTTATTAGTTAGTATTATTATTGCACATTGTTCCCACCTGTCACTTGGAAATACTATAGGTTTTGAATGGGATGAGCCCAAAAGGCTTTTATAAAGTCTGCCCTTCTTCCTAGGCATCAACAAATGTGTTTTTTGTTCTCTGAGAAATGGGGACTACAAAAAAAACACAAGACATATATCTCTTCCTGAAAGGTCTTTAGAAGCTTTCAGATCTTCTTTATCTAATTTATCAGTCTACTAATGAGTCAGACTTCAGCGTCTCTTTTAAACCTTTCTTTATTGTACTCCTGACTTATTTCTCCTCTACAATCTTTTGCTCCTTGGGTTACTTCTGTCACAGTGAGATAGGTGAGCTCTCAGACAAAGAAAAAAAGAAACCTTTACTAGATTAGAGACCCAAATCTAGGAACATGACCAGCTATACTTGTGTCTAGTGAGATGATCAAAACTTCCAGCGTATGATTGCACCAGATCAATTAGAACAAAAACATAATCAATTTAAATTTTAAATATCACTAGATTCAAGGACCTATACAATGTACCCACAAATGATTTATGGCTAGACTGCTTAAATTGGAAAAAACATTCTGAATGCCAAATATCAAATGATTGACATGGGATTTGATTTTCACAAAAGCGTACCTGGGAATCTGCAAGAAAGTACTACATATAGTCAGAGAGCTCAACTCTGGGTGTATTACTCTTCTTCTTGCCCCATGAGAAAGATGAGCATATAATGCCCCAGAAGAAAAAAGCCATGAAAACAAGGGGCATCCACACCCTGCCTTTGGGATGTATCTATCTTTGCTTTACTGTCTTTTATAAATGCATGGTCAGTTCTTTTCAGTGGAGTAAGTCAAGAGCCCACCTGGGCCAAGTTGAGGTCTCACTGCACCCTTGGAAAGACCTCCTCATACCCCTATTTGGTGACAGTGACACTAATCATAGCCCATTCTGATCTGTTGTTAATTTCTTTGTCTCCCTTACTCCTTGTAGAGCAAACACTGCATCTTTTATTGCTATTTTTTAGCACCTAGAAATGAAACTAGCTCATAGAAGACGCTGGATAGATCTTATTAAGACTATGGAATATATAATACAGAAGATCCATAATACTTTCCCCCTATCAAATTTGAAATCAGGAACTATGCTGTGTTTATATTTTATAAAATTTCTAGCAGTAGCTCTGGCACAGAGTGAACATTCAAAAATTTTGAACTATACTTTGGAAAGTACATTAATAGATGCTACAATAATTCCCACTCTCAGGCTTATGGCTATGGGCGTTTCTTTAGAAGCTTAGGACTCCAGGTGTGGTGGCTGAAGCCTCTTATCCCAGCAACTCAGAATGCCGAGGCAGGAGTATTGCAAATTCAAGGCCAGCCTGGGCAACTTAAACTTAGCAAGGCCCTGTCTCAAAATAAAAGGACATACTCAGTAGTAGAGCACCCTGGGTTCAATCTCAGTACTACCCCCACCCCAAAAAAAAGAAAGTATTAGGAAGCATCAACAAAGAAAGGTATTATTGTACCATACTGTACATAGTAGTTGTTTAAAAATTTAAGTGATAGTAGTGTGTTGGATTATTTAGAGAGGAAATGACTGGAAGCAGATATTTATTTTTTTTTTTTTTTTTTTTAAAGAGAGAGTGAGAGAGGAGAGAGAGAATTTTTAATATTTATTTTTTAGTTCTCGGCGGACACAACATCATTGTTGGTATGTGGTGCTGAGGATTGAACCTGGGCCGCACGCATGGCAGGCGAGCGCGCTACTGCTTGAGCCACATCCCCAGCCCGGAAGCAGATATTTAGATAATACTTCTTTTATAATATATCTTTTCTTGATCTTTGAAGTCTGGGTTGAGTCTCCACCTAGGTGCTTCCATAGATGGAAAATCACTGTTATAATGCAGATAAATGCATTTTTCCCCAGTTAAACTAAACTGCTTAAAGGCAGAACTGTGTTATGTCTTTAACACAATTCTACAAACATTTGATATATTAATGATCATTTCTAGGCATTTCTATAATCTATGAAGTTATTATCTATGTGAATATAGACTTAAGACCAGGACTGGTCTTCATAGTCCAGATATATATGAAGAGGTGTAGCAGGAGCTTAATATTAGTTGCTGATACTTACAACACTTTATCATTTGTGACTTGTCTCGCTAAACTTTATTTATTTATTTATTTTTGCATTACGATTCTTTATCACTAAACATTTTTTTAATTCATATTTGCTTTGTGAGATCTGATTCTAGTACCTTATGCATAAAAGGTTGGCCTAAGAAAAATTTTTTTCAAGCAGAAACTCTTCCAGAATCATGGATTTTAGGGAAAATAACATATTTTTACACTAAATTGCAATTTCTAAAAAATAAAATAACCATTAACATGACATCTTAACTAACTCCATTTGAGTGAAAAAGAGGACAGTGTGATACACTTCAGACTTTCTTTTTACATTATGATTCTCTTGAATATGCTTCCATGGCAAAGCACAAATATCTAGGATTATAGCACCAAATATGGTGGCAGCTCAGAAGGCTGAGGCAGGAAGATCACAAGTTCAAAGCCAACCTCAACAATTTAGCAAGGCCCTAAGCAACTCAGTGAGACCCTGTCTCTAAATAAAACACAAAAAAGGCCTGGGGATGTGGCTTAGTGGGTAAGTGCTCCTGGATTTAATCCCCAGTACCAAAAAACAAAAAAAGTAGGATTATAAATTTAGGTTTATATTTTTGTGGCAAAGGGCTAATCTGTATTTATTTGTTAAAACAACCATGAAAGTAATAAATGTTTGTCTGTTTGATTCTGACATACTTGAATATTTTAGTCATGAATATTTTAGTCAGAATTTGAACTTGGCATTTATTATGCTCCTAATTGTTAAAAGTATATGTCTCTAATATAAAAAGTATTAAGTAGCCTTGGGAATTGTTTTGTGTTACAAATGCAGCTTGAGTCTACTGAAAGTATCCTGCAGGAAGCTACATCATCCATGTCTTTGATGACCCAGTTTGAACAGGAAGTATCCGGCCTCCAAAGATTCATGCATGACATTCAAAACAGTGAAGAGATGCTCACTCAAAAGATGCAAAAGCTTAATGAGAAATTCCAAAATATTACAGATTTCTGGAAGAGAAGCCTAGCAGAAATGAATGATAATACAGACATTTTCAAATCAGAAGCAAAACATATACATTCTCAAGTTACTGTCCAAATTAACTCAGCTGAGCAAGAAATAAAATTACTCACTGAACGGCTAAAAGATTTGGAAGATAGCACACTACGAAATATTAGAACAGTAAAAAGACAAGAAGAAGAGGATCTTCTGAGAGTAGAAGAGCAGCTTAGCTCTGATACAAAAACAGTTGAGAAGTTAGAAGAGGAACAGCATGCTCTCCTTGCCAGAGATGAAGATCTGACTAATAAACTTTCCAGCTATGAACCCAAAGTTGAAGAATGCAAGACTCATTTGCCAACAATTGAAAGTGCTGTTCTCTCTATTCTCAGAGTCTCTCAGGATCTGATAGGAACAGAAAAGAAAATGGAAGACCTCACTATGCAGATGTTTAATATGGAAGATGATATGTTGAAAGCTGTATCTGAAATAATGGAGATGCAGAAAACCCTTGAAGGACTTCAGTATGATAATAGCCTCTTAAAGATGCAAAATGAACTGAATGTTCTGAAAGGAAAAGTTCATGATATTATAACATATTCCAGTACAAGAGAAAAGGGAACTTTAGAAGAATATAAGCTAGAAAATAAAGGAATCGATGATTTTTAAAAAAAATCACTGCATGTATTCTGATGAATCATTCAACAATGCATAAATCAATTAGTTCCATGGTTTTTGAGTTATAGTTATAGTGTTATGCCTCACTTTATTGGAAAAATTAGAAGTCCACACAATGGATTTATCCACATAATCAAAGCTTACCTTTTTAAGGTCTAAACCTCACTTTAACCATTTTAAATATAATTAATTCTAAAGTTTATATTTATCTGTCTTTAAGTTTACTCAGTTTTTTAAATGTTTTCCCAATAGTTGATGAACATCAATATGAATTTCACCTATTATAATGGATCCAAATATTTTGCTATATCTGGGTACTATTGAAGAATTTTTACAATTCACTGAATGACCCAAATTTGCTATTTTTCAAACCTGTGTTTTCCTTACATCTTTTCTATCACCTGATCTTGCTCAGGTTGGGTAGTAACAAGTCTGCCTCAGTTAGTTCTTCACTTTCCTATATTAATTCACTGCAGGCTAAGAGTCCAGTCAGTCAAGTCCATAGGAATTTTGTAGGGGCTAGGGGTAAAGCTCAGTTGCTAGAGTGGTTGCCTCCCCTGGGTTCAAACCCTAGCACCACAAAAAGGAAAAAGAAAAGGAGGAATTTTATCTAAAATAAAGGATAATGTGCCTGAAGATGAGCCTGGGACTTTTCTGTGAATTAATATGCACTCTCTGAAAACTATAAAACCTAGGAAATATTTTACTCTTTGTTAAGGTTCTAAACTGTGTTACAAATACTTGCAAGAATTTTTAAATTGGGGCTGGGGATGTGGCTCAAGCGGTAGCGCGCTCGCCTAGCATGCGTGCGGCCCGGGGTCGATCCTCAGCAGCACCACATACCAACAAAGATGTTGTGTCCGCCGAGAACTAAGAAAAATAAATAAATAAATAAATGTTAAAACTCTCTCTCTCTCTCTCTCTCTCTCTCTGTCCCCCTCTCTCACTCTCTCTTTAAAAAAAAAAAAAAAAGAATTTTTAAATTGAGTAAATTCTTACTTAAGGCCTTTCTTATTACTTGTATATGCTTCAAAGTATGAACTTACAGAATATCTTTGTATACTAGATTTTTTTAAGGTTCTAACTGTGTTAGACTCTTGAGTTTGCTAGATACCTGATCTCCAAATAAATTGGTCTAGTTACAATAAAAATACCCAATAAGCCCGTGGCTTATTTTAAGTGGCAACATAATGATAAATAGTGATAATTATGATGACTAAAAGTATGTCATTAAGGATTTCCCAAACTTTTGGGACTAAATTTATTTTACGTATTGACTTTATTTTATCTAAAATTATTTAATGTAGCCAATTACATCATATATTTGCATTGGAAGTTCTGTTCTTATTTCTTTTTGCCAGTAACTATCTCAGTTTTCTAGTACAGTTTCAGTGGAATTAGACATCTAAACTTAAAGCAGTTCCTAAAGGTAGTTGTGATAGTTTTATTATGTAATTTTGCAAGTTTTTGGAAAAATACCTAACAAGTTCTCCATTGGAGTTAAGAAGGCCTGTGGTAGACAGACATTGAGTTATATAAACAAACATCTGTGTGCACTGACAAATTTGTGTTTGTATGCTTTTTTTTAAATGCCAATAAACAAGATTATAAAGTTAGCTGGAACATCATTGTTTCTGACCTCTACACTTTAGGGATAGATGTGATTCTCCGCACCCTCCCCCCCACACACTTGGTATTGAACCCAGGGGCAGTCTACCACTGAGCTTCATCCCCAGCCTTCTTTTGAGTCAGTGTTTCACTCAATTGCTGAGGCTGGCCTTGAATCCACAGTCCTCCTGCCTCAGCCTCCTAGTTGCCATCACTTCCAGCTGATCTCTTCTCTTTTGCTCACTTCCAGCTGATCTCTTCTCTTTTGCTCTTCATTTTTAATTAATTGTATGTGTGCCATCACTTCCAGATGATCTCTTCTCTTGTGCTCTTCATTTTTAAATAATTTTTGCCTATCACCAGATTTGATTCAACTTTACTATGTACTTGTACATACCATAGTAAGAGTTACTGAAACCTAAGGTGGGCACCATGCTCTATGATAACACAAGGGAAATGAAAACCACTTCTACAAGCATTACATAAAAAACTACTGAAGGGCTGGGGGTGGAACTCAGTGGCAGAGTGCTTGCCTTGCATGTATGAGGCACTGGGTTCCTCAGCACCACATAAAAATAAACAAATAAAAGTATGCTGTCCATCTACAACTACAAAAAAAAAAAAAAAAAAAAAGTGGGGGCGCTGGCGTGGTGGCTCAGTGGTAGTGCGCTCACCTAGCAAGCGTGAGGCCCTGGGTTTGATCCTCAGTACCACATACAAACAAATAAAGGTATCGTGTCCAACTTCAACTAAAAAAAATTTAAAAAAAAAAAAAAAAACTAACTAAAATGGGGGCTGGGGTTGTGGCTCAGTGGTAGAGCACTTGCCTGGCATGTGTGAGGCCCTAGGTTCAATCCTTAGCACCACATATAAATAAAAAAAAAATAAAGGTATTGTGTCCATCTACAACTAAAAAAAAAAAAAAATTTTAATTTAAAAAACGATTGAAGTGTGTGTGTTCCTTTCTGAAGATTTTCCTATTTAAAATATTGCTATTGGATTTAGATATACTTAATTTATCTTTGTTTCTTTTGTTCATGTAGTTAACACAAATATTTGAAATTTCTTAAACTCCCATTTACCAAACATTAAATTCAATTCTTCCTTAAAGGAAAATTGCCAATATTCAAAGATACATTTTTGTATATTTGTAATGGATAATAAACTTTATTATCAATTAACTTATTATAGTCATGAGTCCATTTTTTTAAATTTTTGCACAAACCAGAGCTTTAAAAAAATACCTAATTTTTTTGTTATCTTTTGAGTATAAAGTTTAAAAATACATTTTTATAAGTGTTTTCTTAAATTTTGCCTAATGACAAGCTGTTGACTAGGTGTACTTTTATATTTTATAATGAAAAATGTTGGTTTAATCTCAGCCTAATTGGAGTCCTCTGAATAACCTATAATCTTGATCAAAGTTTGATCTTATGTCATTATTCAGTAATGATACTATAAATTCACCATAAACACTAAAAACAACTCATTTCTTTACAAGCTTATCTTATTCAGGTGACAAAAGCTCTGCAAATTTTCCCAGGGTCTATTTGTTTCAATTCAGCTATGAGCTATTAATAGTTAATTAAATCAACTATTGATTAATTTAATTGATTAATTTAATTCTCTCCCAGCTAAGAGAAAAGGATAAAATTAACATTTTGTGTGTCAAACATTTTTAGGAGATTCATATACATCATCATCATCATCATCATCAGAATTATATTGAGTGCCTGCTATGATGTGCTATGCTAAGAATTTTACACGTATCACCACCTCTCACTATAGGTTTGTAATTATTACGCCCATTTACAAATAAGGAAATTGAGGATCAGCAAAATTAGATTATCACTGCAAATTCTGTCCAACTCCAGAGGCTGAGGACCTCCTATCATATGATACAACTAGGGAAGGAAAAAAAATATCACAAGAAAACTACTTCAGTAGAACTATAAAAAAGCAGTAATTCAGACAAACATGTTTGTTCTCTACTATGTTGCCATTAACTAGACTATAAGCTCTTCAAAAGCTCTAACAATTGTTTGGACTTCAGACATAAGAAGGAGGTATCTTAATTTGAGTAATGCTAGTAAGCTACATTTATTCTACCAGAGTAAATATGTTAGTAAATGATAACCTAGTAATAAAACAAATGAAAGTAAGTCAGCTACTCCTTTTACCCTTGGGAGACTGTGTTTTAGCAAATACACTGTTTAGCAAAAACAGTTTTGCAATCACTACTTGATTTCTTCCTGCCTGTGTCTACTTCTTATATACCCACAATAATATTTTCACAAACTAACTTCTCTACTTAAAAAAATTTAAAAATTAACACTTTAGGCTACCTTCACCACCTATAGTTAATGTACTATAAAGCTATTGAGAAAATTTCTAAAATACATTTTGAACCAAAATATACTTGATGGGACAAGGAGGGAGAGTTGCTACCTTGAATTAATTCTCTGCTCCATTTCATCAGTTCATTACAATTCTTTTACAGCTATATAACTGCTTCTTTTTAAAGATGCCATCAAAATACTATCTGAACATATATATTGTGGTTTTATTTCCATTAAATAAAACTATATTAACCAAAATAATTTCAAAAAATGTTTGCAGAGTAAGCCAAATACAATTTAAGGAAGATAACCTATTAAAAAACACATTGAAGAAATACACATTTTAAAAAAAAATTTTTTATATCTTTAAACTGCATCTTACTTTGTAAAAATGTTTTTCAGCCTGAATATTTGCTTTTCTGTTCTTTGTTTTCTTTTGAGTTTTCAATAATCTATTTATTGACATTCTGCTTCCCAAACTAAACTACAAACTCCCCAAAACAGACTTTGTCCTTGATTATACCACCACATCCTATAACGGTAACATTGTTGAATCCAACTACTTTACTATTAGTAGATTGCTATCAATAGTCTCCTACTTTAAAATATAATGCTTTCATAGAACAAGCTGTCAGTTAAATGAAAAGTCAAACACTTGATATACATGACAAATGAGGTTCCCTTTCCAGAGTAATCACAGTGTATATATCTGTCTTTGGGCATCAAAATTGATGATCTATTTCTAGCATTTTGCATGTGTTCTTTACTTCATAGTTCAGTACATAGTCTACAGGTTTAGTTAATCTTCTAATTGATGCCATTATAGTTTCACCTGACAATTCACATCCTTGCTTTAATTTCAGTTTTGTACATTTATGAGAACTACCTATCTTATGATCAAAATTTAATTTTCTCAGGGGCTGGGGATGTGGCTCAAGCGGTAGCACGCCCGTCTGGCATGCGTGCGGCCCGGGTTCAATCCTCAGCACCACATACAAACAAAGATGTTGTGTCCACCGAAAACTAAAAAATAAATATTTTTTTTTAAAAATTTAATTTTCTCTTTCTCTTCATTTTATAAACTGATAGCACAGTGCAGTAAAATTTCAAATATTCAAACTACAGTAAAATATTCAACTTCCCCAATAGTGCTGTAGAGACACATTTAGACACAAAGAGATTATATCAAACTAAAAATCTACAGCCAGCAAAGACACCGATCAACAGATATGAAGAGACAACCTGAAGAATGAAAGAGAATATTTGAAAACCATATGTCTGATAAGGGATTAATATCCAAAATATATAAGGAACTCAAGCAACTCAGTAGCAGAAAACAACTCTTTTTAAAAATGGGCAAAGGTCCTAAATAAAGATCTATCAACAGGTATAATGAAAAAATGTTCAACATCACTAATACCAGGAAAATGAAAAATCAAAGCTACAATGAGATAACATCTCATACCTATAAAAATGTTTACTATCAAAAAGAAAAAAAGGTATTGGCGAAATGTGGAGAAAAAGAAATACTTTTAGACTCTCGGTGAGAATTTGAATTAGTACACCTATAGGAAAAACATTATGGAAGTTCCTCAGAAAATTAAAAAATAAAACTGCCATATGATGGAAACATTCACTTCTAGGTATGTATCCAAAGAAAATGAAGCCAATAGCAGAAGAGATATATGC